ATACGCGACCTGATCCCGTACGTTCGCATCGATTTTTGATGTGGGATGGTGCAGTCGTCAACCACAGGCGACTATAATCAACTGTTCTAAACTTCCTCGTTGGAAGTCACGAAAAAGCGGTGGGTTTTTCGAGAAGTTGTTGATCATGTAATTACCAAAGAGTCTTTCGTCTTTGTGTAAGTGTTATTGAAGCGTTTGGCCTAGTAGATTGTATATCGGTATGCATATACTTGCGGAAACGGAACATGAAGGAGCAGAAAAGAAGAAGTACAAATTTTCACGGACCAACTTTCACTTAACCTCGGTTTGATCAGTCAGTGTTGCTTTTATTTATGGACTAACACGAGGAGACCATACATTCTTTATTCGAGTAACGCTTCGATGTCTTTATCTTCGTTGAGGTCGGATTTTTCCAAGTTGTTTGTATGTAACCGTTTATTCTTCCAATACGGGTTCTCGTAATCTCGCCAACTCGAATTAATTCTAGCGCAGTATAAACCATTTTTTAGCAACCTCGTGTTAGCTTATCGATGGGAAAGCGACAAATGCTATAAAATAATACTCACGTCCTTGGGCTAAATAATTTTTCAAAAACTTATTTCTTAGTAAAAAATAGTTTGTTAGAAGGACCGATGTCGTAGGAGGCTAACATAAGAAGTTGGAATCGATGGATATGGGCATGGTATTCATGGCGCAGGTTAGAACGCTGGGCACGAAATCGACGACGCCTTGGATTTCGACCACACACGATGGTAATGTTTTCGTTGTTGTGCGGTGGTTCTGCCACGCAGGTTTTCTTGAACCGCAGCGAGACGCCGTACCTTAAAAGTGGATAATTAAACAGTTTGTGTACGTAACATTTGCATTCAGTACATACAATAAAGTTAGATACTTATATACAACAAGTTATAAAGCAAATTTGTTTAGTGAGTAATAGTATAGGTGAGAAATTGCATTAACGATTATGTAGATTTTTTGCAGTAGGTTTACTAGTGTGGGTGATGTAATAAGAAATTCTGCTTGTCTAACAGCTGCTTGGCACTGTGCAGTATCATTTTTGGGAAGCAATTCGTTGGTTTCAGTTTTCCAGTCAACAATGGTGACTTTAAGGTATTGTTTTGGATGAGCGGCCAACAAAGACCAAAGGCAAACGTCACGATATTTCTTGCAGAGCTTGCACAACTTTATTAAATGTTGACAACAATATGATAGCATAGAAATGAAGTTTTTTTTATCACACGTAAAAGCTGTGTTTGCACTAAAAATATGAAAGGGTGTTTAGAAAAAGATGGAGCATGTATTGGATAAGAGAATCGCAAAATTTTCTAGGTGTTCAGTCAATCCTGTTTAGGATGATTCGAATGAAAAGTTTGTAGACGACACGCAGCAAGCAGTTTGAGCAATAGATGCCGTTATTGTGAATTTCAACTTTCTTGAACAATAGCACGGCCTTGCTGGTCTTGTAATGAGTAGGGACTTGCATTCAGGCAAGCAACGTGTGGAGAGCCCAACCAGTGTGTTTACGAGGACTGGAGGAAGGTTCTTCGGGTGCTCTGGTCTCATCCTGTCCGGACCTGGTGCTGTTCGATTTTTCACCAACGAAATGGCACGTCGGATTTCGGGGCGTCGGAGTGCAATCATTTTGGTCTTGTAATTGGCGAAGCTTCGGTGGGCTTTGCGAATGCTTTTCCCAGCCTCTGCAGCTTCGATCATTACTGCTACTCTTCTCTTTTTGAGGTCTTCTTTTATCGCCGGTCTGCAATGTTTTCCAAGTTCGGACGTTTGTTCGCGGTTGCCTGCACCTCGTTCGATTCCACGCTGTCGTTTCAGCTCGAGTGTTTCTGGAAACCAATGTCTCTTGGTGACTTTCGAACTCTCAGCTTTCATAGCGCTAACGTGAAGATGTTGAAAGAGCCGATCGTATTCTTCATCAATGTTGCCTAGAACTGCATCTTTCCAGCAGCCGGCTAGTTACTTGAATAAATCCCAGTTCATTGTGGTTTCTGGGGCATCTTTTTTGAATTTACGGCTTTCTCTCCCTTTTTCAAAATAAAACCTTTCACGACGAAGGCGATTGTCCGCTCCTGTGTTAAATTTTGGAACAACGGCGACGTTGGTTGGGCAAAACGATCGATTTACTAGGAATGTGTTTCTAGAATTTTGAGTTACCGTGAATGGTCTTGATCACGGTGATAAACTGAGACAGCCTTCCACCCTGCTCATTCTTCCATTTTAATCCGTGGGTTCCAATATGACGTATATCAGGCGTTCTTCTTGATCCAATCTTGACGTTAAATCTCCAGTGATGACCTTGAAAATGAGTGGTGTTGCTTACTGTGGAACTTTTCTAAGTCGAAACAGAACACTTCGACTTCTTCTCTGTCACAATTTGATGTCGACCCATAAAGGACGAAGATTGTCAAAGCCAGTGGTGATCCATACATCTTCAATTGTAAATGACCGATTCGGGTTTTCAGTTGTTCAAACGAATCGATGTTCACAGACAAACTCGCATTGATGAGAATGCCGAAGCTGCCGACTTCTCCACGGCCGTATGTTCTAAGGAACAGTTCTTGAACTGTTAGATACACGATGTAGAATGATCTACCTGTTTCGCTAATGTATTTGTCCCTGGACACTTTACAAGAGATCAAATAAACCGTAGACGAACTTCTACAATCACCGTCACCACCGTTTGGGCATATTGTGCAATTTTGCGTTCCATATAGTCGGTTACACAGGCGGTTACCACATAGCTGGCATCTTAGAGTGCTCGGTGGCACTCAATCGCTGTTACATTCTCTAGAATGATTCTTTTTAAGCAGCATTTTACAATTTCACTTATTTTGTTGAAAATATAGAGCGGAATAAACAGGACGATATTTTCGCTAGAAATACAATTTTGGGAGCTTAGGTTTTCCTCTACACCAATTCCCAAGAGATTTTCCGCACCAGTTTGAAGCACACTTCCTTCTGCTCTCTTTCTTTGCCTACTCTGGTGGCTGTTCGAAACATGTTCCTAACTGCTCCATTTTCTGTATAAATGGTGAGAGAAAACGTAATGAACCTGTACGTTGGCTTCCGATGCCACGTGGTGATGATGTAGCTTTTATGGGAAAGGCTAATTTGAACATTCAAGAATAGAAGCCATCTTCTATACATCTACAGTGGAGTAATGACCGGAATCGATTAATGGTATTTCCACTAAAGGCAAAGACAAGGGCTGGTGTCTGTCGCTGCCTCATTGCTAACGCTCTCATTTATGCGTAGTATTTTCCGGACCGCCTCAAGATTGAGCAGACAAGGCATCCCTTTAAGAGAGCCACAAACTACTGAATTGAGAAGCCACGCATGTTTATTGCTGCTTTGTTTTTAGGAACTCGCAGATGGCTTGTATGCGGAATCATTCGGCACTTCTGTATAAAGAACGGTAAAGTCAAAAAACTCCATCGTGTAAGCATTGGCAGGACTTATGTAATTAAATGACCCAAAAGAAGTGAATGCTCGTATGATAGGCTAGAATGTGATTGAGCAACTGCGCAAATTTTAAGGCTAAAAAACTATGTAATTACATCCATCCATGGCTCCATCTACACGACTGAGTAGACGCAAGATCATCAGTGGATACCAACTTGCTTGCTTTAATAGCAAATAAGTACAAGGCGACACATGTTGGTGGTTTGTTTTCAAGTTGAGTAGTAACTGACGGTTTTAAACCAGCCACCCTTGCCATTTTAACTCATTCCGAGTTCAGTTTCCTGTACTGATTTTTGAATCCCATTTCACCTGAAAGGCGAAGAATTGAAGCGTCTTAAAGGTGTTTTGCCATTGCCTCAACAGCTCAACTATCTGAACTGATGATGAAATTCCCATGACCGACTTTCTGTTAACCTCGGCATTAATTGATCATCAGTTGATCAACCCATCATCAGTTGTGTAGACGGGCCTACAGATAGAATTGCTTGGTTTATAAACCTAATTCTCAACCAGTTGCTTAGGC